CAGACGCGCGCCGTGGGGGAGTGTTGTGCGAAATTTATTCTCTACTCTCTCCCTCCCTGTATAGTTTCTATATTTTTATATATATCTCTCACATCTAACCTCTCTCTCTCCCTCTCTCTCTCTCTCTCTCTCTCTCTCTCTCTTTCTCTCTCTCTCTCTCTCTCCCTTCCCCTTTTCTGTTTTCTCTGTATTCTGATCCCCCTCAAATTGATGCTGTTCCTGGCACCTCCCTTACATAAACTCAAAGGCATTTACTGACCTTGTTAGCCACACCACATAGGTCATTAATGCTAAATATGTTTATAAGTCACTAAAATGATAGGCAAAAAAAACCCTAATTTTTTTGGTTTGGGTTTTTACTTGTTATTAATGTTTTTTTGTTTGCTTGGGGTTTGGTTTTGAGAGTTTTGGTGCTCTTGATTTTGTTTCTTGGGGGTTTTGGGAGGGGCGTTTTTGGAAGCAATGTATTACTCTGTAGTCAAGTCTACTCTGTAAATCACTAGGTATCCCAAGCTGCTCTGAAACTCATGACAGATGAGCCTACCAAGTGCTGGGAGTACAGATGTGAGCCACAACTCCCCAGATCTCCTTTTTGCTATAATTTACATTTCCTTCTTTACAAATGAGGTGAACATATCTGTCTTTATTATCACTATTGTGTTTTTCAAATAAAACATTCTTGTAATCATTTTATGTGAATATTTTCATTTTCTATTCTCTGTCATTAGAGATATTCCTTATACAGTATGTTTGCACTGTGTTGTGAAGGCTTTGGCAACATTTCCTGGCACCTTCTGCTCCAGCCATAGCAAACTGTTTCCAGAACACACCTCGCTCCTGTGCCCACATGCCTTGGTGTGCACCATCATGGCGCCTCAGCACTCTCCCAGGATTTTCTTGCCTTATTTCTGCCAAACTCATTCATATCTTTCATGTCTCCTTTTCAACAACCCCATGGGACGTTTTCTCTGCCAGCCCTAGCAAAGAAATTTCTTCCCTCACTCCAGAATCACTTTCTGCAAGTCATCTTTAGAACTTTACGGTAGCATAATTAGCCACATCTCATGAATAGAAAGTATTATCTTTTAATTTAGGAGTCCCAATTTGGCCTACAATAGATACCAAGTAAGTGTTGGAACGAGTAAATGATGTAGATCCACTTACAAAGTGCTCCAAGCATCACCAAACATACCACAGATGCTTGATAGTGGCCTCTGCCAGTCTGTCTCTGTTTCTGTCTTTCTCTCTGTTTCATGCTCCTAATGTAGAAATTTTGGGATATTTAGTGCTAGATGAGTTCCTCTATAGCAGGAAGGAAGGCAGAAAGCACAGAAGGGGGGGGGGGCATTTTGTAGCCTGCAGCAAACTCTCTTGAGAGCTGGGCATGAATAAAGATGTCCCTGTTCCATCATCAACTAAATCAATTCCCAGGGCTTGAAGTTGCAGTGACTGACAGCAAAGGCAACACTCTGCTTTTCTGGGTCAAAACAACTGCAGTTTCAAAATTCACTTGGCACCACTGTCTAATTGTTGCATGGGAGGTTATTGGCCTTGGTGTAGCTACTTGGCTTTTGCTGTGCTTATTTTCTTATGACCTAATTGATTTCTCACCCTCCTATCATTTTATCTATCTGAGACAAAGGTGTAGGCAGAAAAGATCCACGGCCACAATTGCAAAGGTACAAGTGAAAAAATGCACATTAGCCATGGAGCACTGATTCGTGATGTGTGAGAAAAATCCATTTATTTTGCTTGAGGAAGACTGCTCAGACTGTGAGGAGCCCCATACTAAGGTATCACTTGTGTAACACAAGGCCATGGTGGCTAAAAGGACCCCAGGGACCTGGCCAACTGCCATGGGCATGAGGCCCAAAGGAGAATGACACAGCCAGAGTCAAACTTTCACACAAGGAAAGGAAGTGACATCCTCAGTGTTGTTACCTAACAGGTACAGAGTCTCCTGTTTGAAAAGACTGGGAGGCTTGAAAGGAAGCCAGGCTTGTGAAGCTCAGCCAGCCCCACCTTTGAATTTGCAATTATGAAACATAAATATTATCTCAATTACATGAGACATTTGAGTTGGGAGTTTTCTGAAATTTGTTCCTGAAGACATCCTTTTCCTGATACACAACTGTTAGCACTTGGTAGTACCAGACATCTGTGAATTCATTTGAACCAGTGGAGGCTGTATAGAATGGCCTCCTCTTCTGTTACCCTTAAAATAATCTCTGCTAACTAAGTGGTACCAAGGGACTTACTGGGGGCATCCATGCATTTCTCTGTCCTGGAAGTTCATGAACCTGGTGCTAACATCTTTTTTTTTAAGTTTTTTCAAGTTCTTTAAGACATCTCCTCTCAGAGATTGATTCTGCCTTCATACCTCTTTGAGCCCAACTATACACAGAAATGCTTATGAGCCTTTTATTCTTTATGCTCTTTCCATGAGTTCATTAGTCAAGCAATTGCTGTACACAGGAGATACAGAAATGGCAAGATTTGGATAACTTAAAAATCTTCCTATATGTCGTAGTTACTTTTCCTGCCGTTGTGATAAAATATTCTGACCAAAGCAACTTAAAGGAAATGGGTTTATTTTTGCTGACAGTTTGAGGTTACAGTTCATTATGATGGGGATGTCATAACAACAGAAGTTTAAGGCAGCTGGTCACATTGTATCCACAGCCAAGAAACAGAGTGGAGGCTGGGGAGATTGCTCAGTGATTAAGAGCACTTGATGCTCTTGCAGAGGCCCCTAGGTTTGGTTCCTAGGACCCACATGGCAGCTCACAGCTGCCTATAACTCTAGTTCCAGGAGATCTGATACCTTCTTTTGGCCTCCAAAGGCACAAGGCACATGCGTGCGCATACATACATGCAGGCAAAACACTTATACACATAAAAATAAATAATAAATCTTTAAAACAACAAGTTACGATACTTGGATTCTTTGAAAACAATAGATTTGTTGATCATTTTCACAGATCAGACTTTGTGTAGTGTATATAATTTGTTTACATTTATTCACAAAAAGCAAAACATATGTATGTGCTTATCTATGAATTAAAAAGTTCTGGACTGGTGCAGGAGCACAGTGCTTAGCAGAGCTTTTGGGACGGACACAGGAGCATTTTTATTTTTCATTTCCTATTTCCTTTTTATTTTTTTATTTTATGCTTTTGTATCCAGAACACTAAATGTGTTGTCCTGCGTGCTCATACTGAATGGTGGCCCTAGTTACTTTGCGGAGTAGTTCACCTGTGAGAGTGCAAACTCTCTGATCGGTTTCTGAGTTTCTCAGACATTACTGGGATCCAGAATGAAGCCAAGTATTGTAGCCTCAGGCATCTTCTAGAGGTGGGCCTGTAAGTCTGGCTCTAGTAACTTGACCTCCCACAATCCTAAACCACCTCTGCAAATGACAGGAAGGAAAAGGAGTCTGTGTTTGAACTGCCTTCTATAAACTCAGGGAGTAAACCAGGCAGTCACAGGGAAGGAGTACTCTCAGGCCGAGATGGAAAGCTCTGGAATTTACTTCCAGCCAAAGTTCACTATGTGTGAAATATGGAGTGGATATTACCCCAGCCCTAATGGGTCTGTGGGCAGTGACTGTAGCAGCAAAACAAGGGTGTTTAAAGGCTGTGCTAATCACTGGGTCAGGTGTAGAAGGGACACTAGTTTTAACAGCACATACACTAAAGTTGTAATGATGGGGAGACTAGTGTGGCCCCCATGAAGAAATGACACACAAATTCATCAAACATACTTTTGTTTGATAGAGGCTGCGTTTCTGTCAGAGATGAAAAATTCTATAGACAGATGGTGGTAACTGTTGCACAACAGTGTCACTTTACCTCATGCTACAGAACAAAGTAATTAAAATGGTTTAAATGCTAATTGTTGTCACAGTAAAATGGAAAAGGAGAGGTTGCAAAGATTTCTACTAACACTGAAGAAGAGAGGTGGAAAGGAAGGTCGATTATGGAGTCATTTTGGAGGGACAGTCTAGCGCTTGCTCACAAATTAGATGGGAAAGATGGAAAAAAAATCACAGTGCAGAGGCCTCCAATCAGTGACTGCAGTACCTAAGAGCATCTCTCCTAGAACGGTATATGACAGGGACACTGGTGATTCTGTGTTTGTCCAGTAACTATAAAGCTGGTCCTGGCTTTCTGAACATCTGTTTGCCTGTAAGTATAAGATGGTTCAAGTGGGCCCAAATCCCTGAAAATTTTCCATTGTATATATTGCTAATGGTCAGTAACATTTACATTATTGATTAATTAAATGCTGGAATTATAATTGCCAGGTACCATTAACATCTCCTGGTGGTTGTAGCTTTACCTTAAGTTAAGGTTTGGAAGTACAATGTCCCCTGTAGGCTCCTTTGGTTCAATTGGTAGTGCTGTTTTGAAAGGTGGTGGAACATTTGGAAAGTAAAGCTTGGCTAGAGGAAGTAGATCTGGTGGGAGGTTGGGAGGTTACTTCCTATACCATCTCTAATCCACCCATATGTGAGCAAGCAGCCTCCAATAGCAGCTAACAGAGCCCTGAGTCACTCCAACTTTCAAGCCTTCCCCATAAACCATGAGCCCAAACCCATCTACCTCTCTTAAATTGCTTCTCAGATATTTGGTTTCAACAACTAGAAAAGTAACCAATACACTTTGTATTTCATTTACTGGGAAATGAATTTCCCTGATCTAACAAATATTCAATTTAGAACAAAGAAAATCTTACTAATAACTTTTTCTCATTTTTTCACTTTAATGAAGGCATATAAATTCTAGGAAAGTCCCTACACAGAACTATGAGAGGGAGAAAATTCCCCACACAAGCCCTCGGGTTCCCTGGAGCACTCTGAGGAGCTCACTGAGCAAGAACAGAAAAGGCAGTAAGAAACAGTTTCAGTTCAGTCATTAATTAAGTTGTAGTCTAAAGCCCATTAGAATCAATTAGTGCTTTGTCAGCTACTGTAAACTAGAACTCTGATTTTTTTTTTTAAACTACTAATCTCAAGAGAAAAGATTGTGGAGTTTAAAAATAAGGCAGTGTTTTGTCCAGAAGTTTTTAGCTGAAGTATTTAATAAATTTGAAATGTCAAATAATGCTGGAAAGAGTTTAAGATTTATATTTATCAAAAGAGACATGGAATACAAAATTTGCTGATGTGTATACATCATTAACATTCTGCTGGCACAGACTTCATCATTGAAGAGTGGGTGTGATGTGAAAAATAGGCAAAGAAGAAAATTTCTAGTTTTAAGTCCTTGACTTTTAAGCACTGTGCCTGACACTTTAAATATGATTGTATCTGACACATATTTAAGACTCTGCAGGGAAAGCAGTGAATATCATTGGAAAGAACAAACTTGTGTTGCAAACAATAGGTAGGATTAGGTTGATAACAACTGTGTGTGGTTGTGTGTGCTATCTAGAGTGAATAGTAGTTAGAGAGAATCCTTCCATGATAGGACAGGTTCTCCCTTCCTTGCCCATATCATGCTGGATGTACTCTTCAATATATAGAGACTAGCAAGTCCTTTGTTCAGGGAACAGTTCCAAAAGACATCTGAAAGAATAAGCTCTCAGAACAAATCTGGCTCACTCCTGGTTTTAACTGACACTGGGAACTCCCACTGTCTTTGTTCAGGAATTGGCCTCTGCTGCCCTGCTGCTAAACACCTGAATTGTTTAACTTCCCCCCAGTTCTCATCACCTGATCTAAGACATTAGAAGCTCTGTCCGACTCAATCTTGTGGTTCTTCCAGTATCAGGAAGTGTAGTTGGCATGGACAGTTAAGACCCCCTCCCTCTGCACTTTACCCAGTGGGAGGAGGGGCCCACCCCCTATGCCCACCCCTATATCCTCTCAATAAGCCATGTTAATATTCCCTTTGGTTCCTTCTACAGTGTCATCTATGGTGTTGTGATTCGAACCATTTGGATTAAAAGCAAGGCCCATGAGATGGTGATTTCCAACTGCTCTGGTAAGGCTCCGAATCTCCCAATTCTTGGCTAATTTTCCTCCTGCATTTTTCCTCTAGCAAATGTGAGCTGGGGATACCTAGATGTGTAAGCCTGCGTGGTTATATACAAGCTGACATGGTTATATCAGGACCCAGCAGGAGAACAAACACAATAAAGGCTCTCCACTGCAGACTTTGCCTTATACTTGATCTGCTTGAATATTAGGAGGGGTCAACAAGATGATTCAGTGGGTAAAAGTACTTGCCACCAGGCCTGAGGATCTAAGTTTGATCCCCAGTATTTACATGATAGGAGAGAACCAACTCTGGTGAATTGTCCTCTGACCTATACACAAACTGGAAGTGTAAACAAGGTACTTTGAAGCTGGCCAACTGTGGCAGCAGAATCTCTCAAAGCAGTCTTGAGGGAGCATGGGGAGTTGCCCCATTTGTATGCCAGGCAGGAAGTACCCTAGAGGACATTACACATGAGGATGGACTTTGCTATTTGGCTTGAATTTAGAAATGGTAAATCCGCCATCTGTCCACAGGATCATCCTGGGCCCTAAGCCAGGTATGACTCAGTCTACATGTTTTCTCTGATACTCCAGCCCAAACCAGACTGGTGCTGAGACAGCCCTCGAAAGCCTGTCCCTAAATTCAAAAATTCAATTTTAGTGAACTTAGAAACAGATACCCCTATATAGCAACTGTGAGTCTGGGATGTGGCCCTGATTTCCAGGCAGTGAAAGACAATGGGCCAGGAAGGTAAAGAAAGGACGCTGGCTTTGCAATAATGTGTCAGTTCTATAGAACTGAGACAGCTCTGCTTTGGTGTCAGGCTCCTCCCATTCCTTTGGTGCACAAATGAGTACACACACACACAAACACACACACACACACACACGCATGTGCATGAGGGCGCACACATAGAAACATATGCACTCAGACAAGACCTGCAAGTTACTACACAAAACTCTGGAGGAAGAACTGGCTTCTGCTCCAGATGTACCACCTACTACAAGCTAAGCCACCTCACAAAGTTATGTCACCTCTCTGGGCTCAAATGGGTTAAATGAGTAGCTACATTAGAGTCTCTCTAAATTTCCTTTGCTTGAAGTTGGATCTAACACCTGCAACAACATCCTGAGTCTGAACCAGTTTATGCCTCCTGAAGCTCCTTTTCCCCATGCAATGTGAGATAGCCAAGAGAATTCACGAGGATGACTGAGACTGGTCATCTGTGTCTCTTTCCCTAGAGACTAAAGAGAGGTGTGTGAGTCTTAGCAGTTCAATTCTGCTGTGTTCTCCTGCATTCTAGGAGTGCCTGGAGACAATGGGAATGACAGTGCCCACACAGAGTAGCTCTGAGTCCATCAAAACAAGCAGACAGGACAGGACAGATGGCAGGTACTGTTGGCCATTAGACATCCTTTCCACTTGTTCCACCTTTAAACCTTGCCCAACTTCCAAGATGCTTTTATGACAATAAAACCACTTTCTCAGAATGAGGAAGCTTGCCATTTCTACATGCAATACAAGGTGACGTAACCAGGATTCAAATGCACATGGTTGACTAGAATGCCCACGCTTTTTTCCTTAAACCAGGCCACCTCCCACAATAAAGAAAAATTATAGAAAGAAAGGTGATAAATGACTGAAAAAGGAGCTCAAATGTGGGAGGAACACATGGTTTTTATTAAAAATCCAAACTCAAGGTGTTTGGCACAGAACACTGTCCATAGCATACCCCATAGTTTTACTTTGAGAGCAGCCTCCCAGACACATCTCTAAAGCTTTTGTTACTTGTTTGGAAGGTGAGTCATGACTGGCACCTTCAAGGTTCTATTTGATTGAGGTAGCTGAGGTTCTGCCCTGTGATTTCTGCCCGTTACAGGAGGCTGGTGTGTTCCTTCTTACCTGTTCCTCTGAGCTCTCATGCCCCCACACCTCCTACATTTCTGTTGCATGCACTCCCCACCCAGTGAGCTGTGGTGGAGCTCACCTCAGTTTCCATGAGTTCACCACTCAGAAAACTGAGCAAGGTATTCACAGCTAGAGGTCTAAGTGATGGAAGAATCATCCCTGTCCCTTCTTCAACATGCCCCCCCACCCCAGCCTGGGAGAGCTCTTTTCTCTCTACATTCTCCCATCTCTCTTCTGTTGTATTTTCTAGTCCCAGTGTTAGGTCTCCCCAACCTCCAGTACTGAAATGATACAAAACCACTTAGAGATTTGTGCATAGCATTGTTTGTTGTTGTTGTTGCTGTCTACCCTCCCCCAAATTGGAGATGGATACTGTCAGTTTTCAGTATTTAATGCAATTTTGATTCTCCATTACTCCTACGTTTAGCTGTCTCCAGCTTTTTGGACCATCTGTGACCCTCTTCTGAAATGAGGCCAGCTAGTAGTCTCAAAATATTACATCCTGTCTCTATCTTATTCAAAAATGGACTTTGCTTGATGTCCTATGTGTCAAAACAGCCAAGCAGTTCTGGCATTGGCTAGTAAATGGAATCTCCAGTGGTGTTGGCATGCCAGGATTATTGCTCATCAACAAGAGTACATTAGCCATGATTAGTGTGAACAGAAGCTCACTTTGTAAACACTGGCTGCAAAACCCAAGCCACCCTTAGTGTAAGAACCATTCTTCTTGCTGACAAGTATGTTTAATTTCTCCCACTCAATAGCTGACTCACAGAAACAGAAAAAGAACTGCTTCATAAATGATCTAAGGATTTTGTCACAAATAGGTATAGAGGGTGATAGATAGTTATATCGGGTTTCCATTATGTTTCATAAGTGAAAGACAGGCTTTCTTGAAGGCTAGGAGGAACAACTCCTTCTAAAGTGGAGCATTTACCACACAAGGACAGAGATTGTGGAGGAACAATCATAGAACAGACAAATGATAAATTTCTAGAGAGAACTGGGTCTTGCCACTATGGCATGGCTCAGACAATGTGATCTGTATTATATCCAAATTGCATGTTTCACATGCAATGAGGCAGAATGAGGTAGAAGAAAAAGCCTTTGGATTAGGAACTGGGTTAAAAATCCTTTTGCTTTCTAGCTTAACAAATTTGCAATAAGTCCATTAACTATTCTCAACACCAGCTTCAGTAACTGAGAACACAATGTCTTTTTTACAAATAACTATGCATAACAAAATATGTACAAGGAAATTAGAAAAGTACAAGCAAAGGACAGTTATAGAGTTTTATAGATGGTAAAATTCAGTATCATAAAGTTGACTCTCCCCAGGTGATACAGATTAAGATATCACTTCCCATTAAAAGTGAATTTAAACATTTTGAACCTGATAGCTGTTTATAAATTATGTATAGAAAAAATTCAAGACCTAAGAAAAGTTAAGCTATTCCCAGAGAAGTACAGCAAAGTAGAAAAGTTTTGCTGTACCTAATATTAAGATTTATCATGAAGTCATTGCTGTAAAACAGACAAATAGAGAGAGGGTGGGTTCTGACCTCCATTGGTTTAGTGGCTGTGAACTCAGCAGACTGCTAAAGAGTGCCAGGTTCTGGACTCCTACTGCCAGAGGGGTTGAGAATGCAGGGGACTGCCTGGGAGCTCCTGGATCCTGCCTACATGTGGTGGTGAGCTTCCCCTAATTGTGCCATACCTGGGATTTCTTGATGCCCCTCCCAAGGCCCCAGGGCAGACCTGGCTTTGGTAAGCTAAAGCTGAGATCCTATCAGACAGCCTGACAGGGTGGGCTCTGACCTCCATCAGTATAGCAGCTGTGATCTCAGCAGGCCATGGTCTCAGCAGACCACCAGAGAGTACCTGATGCTGGCCTCCTTCTGGCATGGGGCTGAGAAAACAGCAGACCAAATGAGAGTCCCCAAACTGGCCCCCTCCTTAGGGAATTTCCCAAATTTTCTCTGAGTTCCTGCTAATAGGGGTCCAAACCTTAGAAGGAAGCCTGAGTATACCTGACTGGAACCTGACTTGGGCTTCTGTGGGTGCTGCTGAATAGCTGATCTGAAGACATCAGTTCCCTCCAAAATAAAACCTGAGAGAACCTGAAATCTGTACGAACTAGTCAAAGTCACAACAAAAGAATAATAAAATGGAAAGCCAAAACACTATGTCCCCACCAAATTCCACCAGTCCTGGAGAAGTGCTCTACAAGGAGAACCCGTTAGAGATAAACCAGGACACTGAATTTAAAAGAACAATTATAAACACGATCAAGGAATTCAACAAATTTAAAAAATACACAAATAAATGAAAGAACTAAAAGAAAATAGGGATAAACTCCTGAATGAATTCACAAAAGAGATAGAAACATTGAAGAAAACTTGGGCAGAAATGAAGAAGGAAGTGAAAAACTCAATAAGCCGACTTGAAACAACAGGGGAAATCCTTACCACTAGAATGAATGAAATAAAAAACAGAATATCAACACTGGAGGATAAAGTTGAAGAAATCAACCACTCAAGCAAAGATTATGGAAAAATTTCAAAAACATAGGACTGGAATACGCAATATGTAAGAGATGTGGGACACCATGAAAAGACCAAATCTATGTATCATAGGAATAGAGGAAGGAAAAGAATTTCAGGTTAATGGTGTTGACCAGATCTTAAATAGGAATGTACAAGAGAATTTCCCAAAATTAAGGAAAGACATTCCCATACAAATACAGGAAGTACATAGAACACCAAATACACAAGATCAGAAAAGAAACTCCCCCAACATATTGTAGTAAAAACACTAAATGTACAGAACAAGAGAGAATACTGAAAGTAGCAAATGAAAAACAACAAGTCACAAAGGAGAGCCCATCAGAATTATAGCTGGCTTATCAATGCAAACTATAAAATCCAGAAGAGCCTGGACCAAGGTATTTCCAGTTCTAGATGACAACAGATGCCAGCCCAGAATGCTTTACCCAGCAAAAAATGTCTATTATAGTTGAGGGGGAAAGAAAAATCTTCCAAGACACGAATAGCCTAAAAGAATACAAGTCCACAAATCCAGCCCTTCAAAGAATA